TGTATGTATATGTATATGTATATGTATATGTATATGTATATGTATATGTATATGTATATGTATATGTATATGTATATGTATATGTATATGTATATGTATATGTATATGTATATGTATATGTATATGTATATGTATATGTATATGTATATGTATATGTATATGTATATGTATATGTATATGTATATGTATATCTGTGTGTGTGTGTGTATATATATATATATATATTATGGAGTAATATATAGCAATAAATATTAGGCATTGTATACCCTAAAGCCTTAAGGCAGTGATTGAGGCGAGAAAGGCGATCTAGGCGAACGCCTGAGGCAGTGATTGAGGCGAGAAAGGCGACCGCCTTAGGCGCGCCTTAGGGATCTCGCCTCGCCTGGCTTCCTTGAGGCGCTGAGAGCTCGCCTGGTCGCCTGAGGCGCCATAGGCGAGAGAGGCGAGCGCCTTTAATAACTATGCTCTTTTCACTTATTTGGAAAGAAAAGATTTGAGAGTGAATGTTTGTGCTTGCTCTTGCTACATAGTTCCTTTCTTTTATGGTTTAGCCTGCCATTCTTAATGTACATAATGCCTACTTTTCTCATCGTGTATTCACTTTATTGTTGATGCACTTGTTTGAATCTCTTTCGTGATTAGAGTCAACAGGATAGTTTTTCTGATGTTGTTTATCTACTATATGGTCACAGGAAAGGTGCTCCAACCACGCCATTGGTAACAATAGCATTGACAAAAATTATCACTGGAGTGTTAGAGAAAAACAATTTGCCTCGAGCAATTTTCACTGCTTTTTGTGCGGGTGCGGAAATTGGTCAAGCCATAGCAAAAGACACACGAATCCCTCTAGTATCATTCACTGGTAGCTCAAAGGTAGCACATGCTGCTTGTTTCTGATGAATATTCATCTTCTGATGTGCTGTAACCCCAAACAATTACGGAGTATATTTATTGATGAGAATATTCTGACTTACATATGCCATATTTGAATTTGCAATGCATGTGTATGTCAGGTCGGTCTTTCAGTACAGCAAACAGTAAACCAGAGGTTTGGCAAATGCCTACTTGAACTAAGTGGTAATAATGCCATAATAGTCATGGATGATGCTGACATTGAACTTGTGGTTCGCGCTGTTGTGTTTGCTGCGGTAGGAACTGCTGGTCAGCGTTGCACAACTTGCCGTAGACTGGTAAACATTTTTTTTCATTATGCATCTTACACTTTATTGTATCATTATGATAATTTTGCTGCTAATACTCTTCTTTTGTGATCTTTTCAATAAAGCTTCTTCATGAAAGTATATATCAGAAAGTAGTTGAACGTCTAGTTGACGCATACAAGCAAGTCAAGATAGGGGATCCTTTAGAAAAGGGAACTTTACTTGGGCCACTGCATACACCTACTTCAAGGGAGAATTTTGAGAGGGGCCTTGAGAAAATAAAATCTGAGGTATTCTATGGCGCTTTTGTTTAATCACGTCTTTCTATCTTGCTAGTGTATCAATTTGCCATTGAACTGGACGGTTGTAATATTTTAAATGTTCTCATGGCAATGGTTTAGGTCCTTACGACTAATAATTCCAGACCTAGAAATTTCATAAGTGAAGCTGGGAAGCTTTATAGGGGGCATTACATATGATTGTATGTTGTACTTGATGTTATGGTTTTAATTGTATTCGTGTGTGTGAGTCCACACACGCAATTGTTGACATATTTAGAAATCACAACCCAATAGAATCCCACAGATGAGGTTGAGAGGGGGTGGGTGTCCGGAGACTTTACTTTCCCCACCCTGAGATGGTAAAGAGGGCTGTTTCTGAAACATAACATATTGCAAATTAGTAGTCTAACAAATAAACCAAAGTTCATTTAACTAGTCAGCTAATCTATGTGATCAGTGACCTTTTGTTTGAAACACTTGAGTGTTGACTTTACTCGAATCAAGTACTTTGGCTACTATTAGTAACCCTGCTCTTTCAGTTTGTCATATCACCTTTATGTTTTGTCTTATTTCTCTGTTGTGTTGTGTTGAATTGAAGAGGTGGAAGGTAGGTGTTAGGGGTGAACCGGGGGTCTTATCAAGTTGTTATTTTATGAAGGATTTGTGGAGAAATGAAAGGGGAAATGGGTTGGACGAAATTATGGAGATGTGGCAGGAGTTCTTTTTGGGTTTTTAGTATTATGAAGAAGAGTGGAAAATCAGGAGAGAAAGGTGGATTTAGAAATGATGGGATAAATTCCAAATTAGGAATAAGAGATAAACACACTCTTATCTTAATTTGGAGCCAAATTAATACTAAAGGATAAACTCACCTCTAGATTAACTTGGGGTTAAACTCTAGTATTTAATCAAGATATTACACACTCAATTAAATAACTAGAACCTAAAACTCACACTTAAGATAACCACTCTTAAGATATAGAATTAGGAATTTGGCTAAAATAGCATCACACTATTTTATGAATATTCAAAGAGTAAAAGGTTTTCAATATTCAAAGATGTTCCTTACAAGGGCCAAATGGCCGAAATATATAAGGAGGGGAGAGGAGGGAAAACACACAATATAATGAATGCAAATACAAGGAACCTTCCTACATCCCTTTATCATTCACTAGCTTCCAATCTTGAGTTGATAAGGGCTGATTTTGTTTGACTTTGTCTTGGCTTTGGAGCTGGCTTTGTCTGTCCTGTTGTGGAGGCAAAAATCACAAAGAATGAATGAAATCCTTTGATGATTGTGGTGGATATTCTGGCTAAAAAGAGGGGACAAACAAAGATGGGTGATGGATGGTGTATTGGCCTTATATGGTAAGAATTGACAAGGAAAGATCATGGGTGCAAGGATGTGAAATAAGTCAACAAAAGGACAAATTTTCACTATTCAACTTTATGACTTCTATCCTGATTGTGAGAAAGGTGATTTCCATTTGTTAATAGTTGAAAAAGGGGCCTGATTTATGGATAAAATGGAAGGGATTTTAGTCCCTAGTTGTAGGAAAAAAAAGAGGAAAGACATTATTTGGGTAAAAGGACTTTAAAAGAAACAAACAAAGGTTTTGGCTTTTATTTTCTCTCATTTTCGGCCAAGGGCTTTGAAATGAGTGGGGGAGGACTTTATTTGAATAAAAGAAAAGAAAGAAGACTTTTGGATATGTTGGGAGAGTTGGGATTTTGGTGGAGTCATCCAGGGGTACATCAGTAGGGCTGTTCATGGGTCCAAGACCGAACCGAACCAGACTGACCCGGACCGGACCGGAGACCGAATTGAGTAAATTCAAGGACCGAAGACCGGAACTAAATCTATTCGGGTTTGGACCGGACCGGACCGAAATACTTAGGACCGAACCGGTCTGGACCGATTGGACCGAAAAAAATACATATTTTTTTAATTATTTGATCAATTAAATATATTTTAGACTTTTTACTTTGTACCATTCAAATAGAAAATGAATAAAAAAATAGGCAACCTTAAAATGGGTACGCAATATGAACTACTTCTATGTAGAACCATAAAAACAAATATGAAACATTTTTTAAAGATTTTTTTAAAAATTACTTAATAAAAAACCTTTTTAATTAAATAAATTAAAATATCTATTAAAATAGAGCATCAAAATGTAATACGGAACTTATAAAGTAGAGTTTTAGTATTTAGGCCTTTTAGGTCCAGTAGGGTCATTAGGTCCATTCGGTCCGGACCGGACCGAAACCCAAATGCCTAAATTTTTTGGACCGAAGACCGACTCGAAATCCATTCGGTCCGGGTTTGGTCTGGACCTAACAGTCCGGTTCGGTTGGTTTTTTTGGTCTGGACCTAAATATGAACAGCCCTAGTGGAAGGGGGTGGAGATTAAGGATTTAACAAATATATTATGATAACTATTCCATTCATTTCCCTCCCTTCCCTCAAACCAAACACAACCTTTTTGCTAACAAATTGACCTTTCTTTATACTTTTCAAGTGTAAAACAAGAACACAGTAGTCGTGTAACCTTAGGGGATGTCATCACATGTTGAGTTTGTACTTTAAAGCATTGCGCCAACTGTGGATAAATAATTATGATTGTCGCAACTTTTCTTTCTTTTATTTCTTTCATCCATCATCGGCTTAGATTTGTAAGCACCTAAGCCGAGTGGCATTGTTATCACAAGAAATTATTCATGGGGGATTAACTATTGATAAAATTTAGGATGAGGTAGTGATAACTGGATTGGGTAATAAGACACTTGGGTTGAACCACATTAAAAGATTGAATCCTATCGATTAGTTAGTTAACCTCAATAGCTTATATACCGATTATTTTACTCTTGAACTTCTCATGTGGGATGCACTTTAACACTCCCCCCTCAAGTGGATAACCGGGCCATTTTGAATCTAACCGGTTGACCACTTGCAAATGAACTCCCATTCCCTTAACTTTTTTTTTTGAGCGGCAACACCTAAAGGACCATGAGCCGCTGGGTATGGACTTCCAGACGAGCAATCGTGTTAAACGGGCCACATGCCGTTGGGTACATACTCCATATGGACAACTGGGCTAATGACAAACGGGCCGCTAGGAATGAACGTTTAGACGGACTCCTTGACAAACGAGGTGGGCCAAAACCTGCTCCGATACCATGATAGAATTTAGGATGAGGTAGTGATAACTGGATTGGGTAATAAGACACTTGGGTTGAACCACATTAAAAGATTGAATCCAATCAATTAGTTAGTTAACCTCAAGAGCTTATTTACCGATTATTTTACTCTTGAACTTCTGATGTGGGATGCACTTTAACAACTATCATAAGAAATATTTGTTCTGACATTTTGGAAGCAAGGATGGCCCTGTTTGGCAACCAACTGTTAGGTATTTGGTTGGCTATTTTGATAGATATTTGTGAGTTCAGGAATAATGCATTTGGCAAGATGATTTGTTTGTGTGAACAATTTGGAATTTTAATGTACACAACTGTGGACCAACAAAAACTTTGAAAAACAAGTTATTTGTAAAACTTTTTGTTACCAAAAAGTTCTCTCTAAAGTTGTTTAACTAATACTTCTAATAATAGATGTTTGACCAAATTAAAACATATCATTAACCTCAAAATGGTTTTTTTTGACATAAAATGCCCTATAACTTAATAAGCTTGTTGGCGAACACCCATGGTATCGTGAAACTAAGTATTTTCTTGGCATTGAAGTTGCATAGTCTACATTAATTAGGCAATTATGTTTCTCAATGGAAGTATGCCTTGGACATAGATACATGTACATATACACTTTACATGTACTTACATATGTGCACACACACATAAACACACTAAAGAGGGTGAGGAAAGCTGCATGCCCCTCTTTAAGGCCATTTATCTCTGTCTTTGCCCTTTTTGTGGAGTGGGAAATGAAACTCTTTTGAACTTTCTCACTGTCTCTTATTTTCCTGTAAATGTTACTTATTGGTGTATTTTTTCAGGGAGGCAAGATCCTTACAGGTGGCTCAGTTATTCCATCTGCAGGGAACTTTGTGCAGCCAACAATTGTAGAAATATCTTCAAATGCAAACGTAGTGAAGGAAGAGTTGTTTGGACCGGTTCTTTATGTTATGAAATTTAAGGTAGCTACTTTTGGAAGCAGATTTATGAGTTCCTTAATTATAAATTATTCTTACCTAGTGTTTATGAATCATCATTGTTTCCAATAATGTCTTACTTGTGAGCACCCTACTCTTCATGCAGACATTTGAGGATGCAGTTGAAATTAACAACTCTGTACCTCAGGGTTTGAGTAGTTCAATCTTCACCAAAAAACCTGAATACATATTCAAGTGGATTGGGTTAGTATTTCAACACTTAACACTCTCATTTAAATGGAATTTGATGTACACGTACCAAGACTCACTCAGTTGATTTGACGGTACATATTTTTTATTTTTAGTTTATCTGTTTACAAGCTTAGCATAAAGCAAATAGATTTATCACACGAGGTATACACATTTCATGAAAGATAATGGTGGTCTTGGAACTATGATAGACATAACACACTAATAATCTTTCCACTTTTCTTTTTCAATCCATCCCAAACTAATCTTCCACTTTTTCTACCAACAATGTGTCATTAACATAATCTTCCATTTTCAGCAATGTCATCAACATAAAGCAACAAATAATGAAGTAGACTTATGATCAACATATCTCTGGTGAAAGATAAGTGTATCATCAACATAAAACAACAAAATAATGAAGTCATTATTAGAGAACCTTTGCACAAAAGCACAATAATCAGTATTCAGTAGTCTTCTTATATCCCTGTTGGATCAACATAGACTCAAACTTCTTGTACCATTGCCTTGAAGCTTGTTTCAACTTCCAAGCCCTACAAGCTCTTCTTCAACTTGCAAACGTAGCCCTTCTTCAATTAGTGAGCTCTTCTTAAAATGTACTCTATTGTTGTTTGGAAAAATGATATTGCCTCTATATTTGATAGGTTGCTTTACTTTTAAGAAACTTTCCAATTACTTGTTCTACCCTCTCTTTCTGTTAGGAGTGATTCTACCATGGACCTTATGTCCATATAATAATGCATTGACCTTATATGAGCAAATTAATAAAAATTAAATTATATTAATGTTTATCGTAACATTATGAAAGTGCTTGTGTAGCTAATAAGAAGATCCATAAATGCTTAGGTGGACTTTAAGTCCACTTAAGAATTTATCTTCTATTAAATATGAGCTTATCACTTTCAAAAAAATATGAGCTTATCAAATTACATAAATGTCCTCATCTTTTTTCCTTTCCTACGTATCCAAATACTAAATGTCTTGTTAAAGTTTACTTTTGGTGCTTGTATATTAAAATAATTGAGGAATTCATCTCAAAAAGTAAATGTCCCTAATTATTCTTTCACCTGCTCACTCGTGCTCTTCATGCCTTTTCATCGTCTTTCTTAGTAATTTTTTTTACCTTTTATACACTATTCTATATTTCAATTATTTTTTCTCTTAAAAGTCATGAAAAGTACTAGAAGCTTTCAAATACAGATAGAGTAAATTGTACCAGCATTTATTTTGCTTTAGTAATAAGACCCTGATCCTCATACTACCTTACCCATTTTAAAAAATGAGAGGTTGTTTCTCAAATGAGGATGTGTGAATAGTGTTAAGTTTTGACCATTGAAATTATTTTGGAATTTGGAACGAAGTATTAGGAAATCATGCATTGACCATTATAATATTATATTAGTGACTGAAAATGCATTTTATTTACTTTTAAGGTACAAAGTAGCTTAGGAGGAGTTGATTCTGAAGATAAGTAAAAAAACATGCATTGATCTCTTTAAACACTTAAACTACAATTATTTTGGGGTAACTTTTGTGTCGCCAGAATGGCAGTTAAGTTGGGACTGATGGAGCAATAACTAAGCAATCATGATCATCATCGATAATGTGGTACCACTGACATTTTATTATATTTTATTTTGGCAGTCCTTTAGGGAGTGATTGTGGTATCGTTAATGCAAACATACCAACAAATGGAGCAGAGATTGGCGGTGCTTTTGGTGGAGAGAAAGCTACCGGAGGTGGTCGTGAAGCTGGAAGCGATTCATGGAAGCAATATATGAGACGCTCGACTTGGTAAATGCATTCATCCTTTGATCTCTCTCTCTCTCTCTACACACACACACACATACATACATACATACATGTGTGTGTGTGTGTGTGTGTGTGTGTGTATAAGGCATTTCACAAATATATAGTCTAAGTTTAGTTGCCCACTTGTTCTAACCCGGCGAATTATAAGAAATGTGGTAATTGGCAAAAAAGCCCTTGCAATTTGGCTTGTCCTCCTTTCTTGGCAACAAGCTTAATTATGCTCTTTAGGGGTGTTTTGAATAATTCCACATCATTTTTTGACCAAATAATATAAGTGGATTAATCAATCCAGACATTACAAAAAGAAAGGCTGCACAATTAAATTCACATGGCGGGAGTACGTGTTAATGTCCTCGATTTCCTTTGGTAACACTTTGATTACATTCCATTTGCAGTACAATCAACTACGGGTCTGAACTACCGTTGGCACAAGGAATCAACTTTGGTTAAAACAAAATATTCCTGGTTTGTCGAAACATTTCTCAGGTTTCTTGCTTCAACACGAACAACCAAACTATTCCTGGTTTGTAACCATTCTAATTTGCAGTCTTTGAAATGAATCGTTTGAATGATCACGCTTTCGTCTTTATGTGCTAAATATATTGAACAAATCAGCCTCAATAGTTCTCTTGAGGTACGAGTAAGTCTGTGTATATTTTCCCTCCCCAGACCCCATTTCATCCGACTTGAATGGGTTTGTTGTTGTAGCCTCAATTGTTCTCTTAAAAAGGTTCAAAATAGATGTCTTTGGGTTTCCAACTTCTTGTTGAATTACATTGTCTCTTCATATTTCTTTTAACATCTATTGTAAAAGGAAAGAAAATATTTGGTATATATTTTCGTATATATTAGTTTTGGTAATTTCCTTGTATTAGTAGTTTACTTGTATAGAGATTCCCTTTCCTTGTTTAGTTAGGATTCTCGACTTGTGAGAACCTATATATACATGCCTTGGTTGTAAATTGTAAACACAAGAAATACGAGAGAATTTTTTTCCGAATCCATTCTTTCATGGTATCGGAGCCTAAACCCTAAATTTTCCGCGGCCACTGCTCTTGATCGACCGGCATCGCGTCCATCGGTCAAACGCCCGCCGCTGCTGTCAGATGCCGGAACGGTCGACCGTTAGTGAAGAATGGTCGAGGTCATCGATCGTCCCGACGACAGCTTCTTTCTTATCGCCGTTGTGATTTTGCTCTGTTGTTGATCTGCCATCCGGTATGTCCGAGGAAGTAAGCATGAAGATTATTTCCAACAAAAAGAACAAGGAACGAGAGGAAGAGGAAGTTGGGGTGCGTCGTCGACGCATCTCCCCGTACGATTTGTCCCCGAGCGACAATCCGGGTATGATTCTAACCCATGTTGTTCTAAAGGGGGATAATTATGATGAATGGTCCAAATCTCTACGTTTGGCTCTTCGAGCGCGCAAGAAGTTTGGATTTGTTGATGGAACAATCGGGATGCCTGGTCCCGATTCGGATGATTTTGACGATTGGTGGACAAACCATTCTGTGTTGATCTCTTGGATTCGGAACACGATCGATCCAGCCTTGAGATACAGTATATCTTTTGTGGAAAAGGCTTCAGATCTGTGGAGTGATCTGGAGGCCTGCTTCTCTGTCGTTAATGGACCTCGGGTTCAGCAGTTGAAGCGGGATTTAGCAGAATGCAAACAGAAGAATCTTTCCGTAATGGAATATTATGGGAAGATGAAGAAGCTGTGGGATGATCTTGCAGATTTAGAACGGTTCCCAGGTTGCACGTGTAGGAATTGCACGTGCGACTTGCAGGAGAAGCTTGTGCAGATGCGTGAGAGGGAACATTCTCATCAATTTTTGATGGGCCTGAATGATGCTTTATATGGAACTTTGCGGTCGAACTTGCTTGCTCAACCATACCGCCTGTGGCAAGAATATACAATATTTTTGTCCAAGATGAAACATCACAGAATGGGATGCACAAAGGAGAAAGCTAAGAGGCAGGTGCGTCCGTATTTGCCGTAAAGAACAAGATGGAGGCCAAGGAGCTTGTGTGCTCTCACTGTGGCAAAGGAGGACATGAGGTTGAGGCATGCTACAAACTCATCGGATACCCAGAGGGGTGGATCTTCCGAGATCAGGCCGAAAGAGGAAGAGGAAACATCCGAGGAAGGGGTCGTGGAGCTGGACGAGGCGGCGCACGGTCGACCGTAGGGTCTGGACGGTCGACCGTCACGGGCAGTCGGAGTGAGGTGCACGCAGTCCAGGGAGAAGGACCGTCTCCGCTGCCAAATTTTGAGGATTGAACAGTGGAATGTTGTTCGTCATGCCCTCTCACTTTCTTCCACAGATAATGCTCAAAAACTTTCAGATGTTCCTGTATCACCTCGTTGGATAATTGATACTGGTGCGTCCAACCATATGACAGGTGATCTATCTTTGTTATATGATGTGGTGGGAGTGTCCCCATGTGAAATTGGTTTGCCTGATGGAAAACGGGCTGTATCTGTTCAATCTAGAAAGATTGACTTAACAATGACTATGACTTTGCAGAATGTGTTGTTTGTTCCAAGTTTGAACTGTCATTTGATTTATGTGTCACAGCTGACAAAGGATATGAATTGTGAGGCGAAGTTCACCAATGATTTGTGTATCTTACAGGACCTAAGGTTGAGGACAACGATTGGTGTGGGTAGACAAGAAGGAGGACTATATTATTTAAAGAAGGAGGAAAGGAGAATGGCGTGCAGTGCTATGAAGGAGAATTCTTTTGATCTTTGGCACAAACGTCTAGGACATCCTTCTTCACATGTTTTATCCTTAGTTCCTGTAGTTGGATCGAATAAGAGTAGTCATAGTCATTGTGATGTCTGTTTACGTGCCAAACAAACTCGTACCAGTTTTCTATTAGTTTTAATCAATCTATGGATAAATTTGATATGATACATTGTGATTTGTGGGGTCTCTATCGGACGTCGAGTTTGGATGGATCTACGATGTTTTTGACTATTGTGGATGATTTTTCTCGTGGTGTATGGGTGTACTTGCTTGATTCTAAGCGTACTGTAGGAAGTGTCTTCAAACAATTTTGTGCCATGATTGAACGCTAGTTTGAGAAGAAAATAAAATGTGTTCGTAGTGATAATGGTACAGAATTTGAGTGCTCAAATGAATACTTCCAAGAAAAGGGTATAGTTCACGAGACATCTTGTGTATCTACACCACAACAGAATGGTAGAGTGGAACGTAAACATCGGCATATTCTGAACGTGGGTCGTGCTCTGAGGTTTCAAGCTGGTCTTCCAATTGAATTCAGGGGAGATTGTATGCAGACTGCAGCCTATTTGATCAATCGGACACCCTCGTCATTGCTAGGGGGTGACGCCGTATGAGAGGCTTTATGGGAGGTCACCGCCGCTGACTCACGTTCGTGTTTTTGGTTGTAGATGTTATGTCCACAATCTGAAGAGGGATGGAGACAAATTTGCACCCAGAAGTATTCCTGGAATATTTTTGGGTTATCCACAAGGGAAGAAGGGATGACGCGTCTATTTTCCGGACACCGGAAAGATCAGCGTGTCCCGTGATGTTGTGTTCTGTGAAGACATTTTTCCTTTCTTGTTTTCCACAGGTGAAACACCCAAAGAAGATGCATTGAGAAGCAATCCAACCAACGATTATTTTGAAGATGTTGAGGATCTATCCACGGAGGACCATCTGGTCCGTTCCTGGAGGAACGGTCGATCGCCGGGAAATATGGAGGTAGAAGAGCTTCAGACGACGGTCGACCCCGTGGATCATGCCGAAGACCACGGTCGACCGTCAGCAGGACAGAATGACGGGTCTTCTGCAGATGAATCAACAGTCGACCGCGGCATGGAGGACGGTCGACCGTCCCCAAGGTAGAAACCTGATGAACCAGCGCAGCTACAGACAGTCGACCCCGTGGACCGTTCCACGGATGGCGGTCGACCGCCCCCGAGGCAGAAAACTACTGAACCAGCGACGCTACAGACGGTCGACCCCGTGGACCGTTCCGCGGATGGCGGTCGACCGTCCTCTTCCCAGCAAGCAGTGGAGACTTTGGGGCGTAGTCAGCGGGAAAGACGCCCAAATGTGAGACTTGCGGACTATGTTACACATGTCACTGGACCACATAGCGGAGAAAGATGCAGGTATCCACTCTCCTCATATGTCACGTATGAGAAGTTTTCTGATAAACACAAGTGTTTTCTCACGGAACTTGATGAGGAAGTGGAGCCCACAAACTTTAAAAAGGCATTTCAGGAGGAGCGATGGCGGAAAGCTATGCGGGAGGAGATTGATGCACTGGAAGCTAATGGAACTTGGTCGCTGGTTGCTCTTCCACGTCATAAAAAGCCCCTTGGCTGCAAGTGGGTGTATAAAATCAAGCGCAAGTCCGATGGCAGTGTGGAGAGATATAAGGCCAGATTGGTTATACTCGGCAATCATCAGGGACTTGACTACAAGGAAACATTTGCTCCTGTGGTCAAGTTAACTACAGTACGAACTCTTCTAGCTGTTGCAACTGCGAAGGGTTGGGAGTTGCACCAGATGGATGTGCACAATGCTTTCCTTCATGGAGATCTTGAGGATGAAGTGTACATGCGACTGCCACCAGGTTTTTCCAATTCTTCTAATGTAGTATGCAAATTGAAGAAATCTTTGTATGGTTTGAAACAAGCTCCAAGGTGTTGGTTTGCCAAGTTGTCTGGAGCTTTGAGGCGCTATGGGTTTGTCCAGTATGTTCCTGATTACTCCTTATTCTCTTTCGTTGGAAAGAAAGGAGTCATACATGTTTTGGTTTATGTTGATGATTTAATTATTGCTGGAGATAATTCAGAGATGGTGAGCAAGTTCAAGGCATATCTAGGGGATTGTTTTCATATGAAGGACTTGGGGACACTGAAATACTTTCTTGGTATTGAGGTGACGAGGAGCACGTCTGGGATATTTCTCTGCCAACGGAAGTACGCTTTGGATTTTATTACTGAAGCCGGATTGTTAGGAGCCAGGCCGTTAGGTGCACCCATGGAGCCAAATCATCATTTGGCTCGTTCCCAAGCTCCCCTTCTGACAGATCCAGAACCAGATCACCGTTTGGTGGGACGGTTAGTATATTTGTCTGTTACACGACCGGAGCTTTCTTATGCAGTGCACACTTTAGCACAATTTTTGAAGGAACCGAGGGAGGATCACTGGTCTACGGCACTTGGGGTGGTCTGTTATTTGAAGGGATGTCCTGGGTAGGGCATTTTCCTGTCTGCAGATAACAGTCTTCCGCTCACAGGATGGTGTGATTCGGATTGGGCAGCATGTCCCTTGACACGGCGGTCGCTGATAGGCTGGTTTGTGCAACTTGGGGACTCACCTGTTTTTGGAAGACAAAGAAGCAGACAACGGTGGCTCGTTCGTCTGCTGAGGCTGAGTATAGGGCTCTTGCTGTTCTCACGTGTGAGTTGAAGTGATTGAAGAATTTATTGCGATGTCTAGGGGTTGAACATAAGAACCATATGACTGTTCGCTGTGACAGCACTACAGCCCTTCACATTGCTGCTAACCCAGTTTTTCAAGAACGCACGAAGCATATTGAGATTAATTGTCACTTCGTTCGTGATGAGCTTTTACGAGGAGAGATTCGCACCTTGCATGTACCTACTACGCATCAACTCGCAGATATTCATACGAAGGCGCTTGGGAAGTCACGACTGGAGTTTCTTATTCCCAAGTTGGGCATTTCTTCATTACATGCTCCAACTTGAGGGGGGGTGTAAAAGGAAAGAGAATATTTGGAATATATTTTCGTATATATTAGTTTTGATAATTTCCTTGTATTA